TTCCGTTTTCCCCGGGACAGTCAGGTCTCCTCGAGCCGATCCTCCGCGAATCGATCACGCAGAACGAAATAGGAACACGTCTAGCACCCAATGGTTCCTGTCGAGAACGCTCGACGTTTGTCAAAATAAAACGCTTCGTATGGACAATTCAAGCGTCGACTTTTTCTATAGAGTTTTTTTTTTTTTACTTTTTTGTGAAACGTAAAAAGGAAGTACCATTGGGTACGCGAAGCTTCCTATCGTCGACAACCGCGTGAGAGGGCATCGAAGGAATCGAAAGACACGAAGATCCATTCGGAGAACGCGACCTGTATTCAAAACGATTTTTCACTCACTCTGAATTCGACGCTTCGAGCCGACTAACCACTCGAGAGACAGATGCATCTCGATTTTCTACCGGTTCGCGCGATTCGAAACCTTTTTTAACTATTTTTCTTGCCAAGTTTTAGTCTCTTTTCGGCTCGAAGGGCGAACTGCGCCTCCTAGAAACGCTTCTGAAACAGCGATAGAGCACTAGTTAGCCCTGTGCAACAATGTTTTGAGCACAGATCCGTCGAAACTTCCGTGTCCCGGATACTTCGAATCCGTGATTCTGCCTGATTCCTTCTCCAGAATCGTTGTACGATGGATCTTCGTTTCTGGAACTCGGTGCCAGGCTCGACCACCTTACGATAAATGTTAGCTCGGTAGAAGGCTGTCGCAATGGCGCCATGATTAAATACCGAAATAACCTTCCTATACAGTCTTCGTTTCTTTGGCGAATCGAGTGTTGTGCAAAAATACCCCGGAATAAAAGTACAAACCTCGAGATTCGAACGATCTTCCGCGCATCTACCTTACGCATACGCAAGCTTGATCGATCGTTTCTCCGATGGCGTTTCGCGATCTTGGGAAAGCTTCCACGATCGACACAGTGTACAAGCTCCTCGTACAATCGTTTAATAAAGAGCATGCATCGGACATTTAGAATCGTTTTCACAGATCGAGGTAGCGTTTCTTTCGTCTATTATTTCGTGTGGATTTTTTTTGTTTGTATCGACGTTTCGCTGGAAATTGCGGAGACCTCGACGCGTTCGAAAATGCCATTGCGACAGGCCTCGAGTGCGTAATCATGCGCTGACACGTAAATGTCTAGAGAGCAAAGGCTTGATCTGTTGTATAAATTAGTAGTGACGTACGTCGTTGTATGTGCCGCATCGTCCTTCTCGTGAGAACCGCAGGATGCAAAGGATGATCGATAAGTGTTTACATACACCCGCTCGGCCGAAAATCTGAATTTCCCTTTTCCCCTCCGTCCCACGGGATTCTTTTTGTCGCTCATTTGTGTGTTCCTGGAGATCGAGAGAATCGCAGCAGCGGTGAACAATTTTTGGGGAAGCAAATATAGAATAAACATTTTTAAATTGGATGGAGACACTATTGTGAAAATTCTCGAATTGTCCACCGCTGGTGCTTTCGCCTTTCAGGATTTTAATTTCACTGAATTATCGAACAATTCGAACGTCTGGAAATCACGTTCGAATAAACCCCCTGCTAGATTGAAATGTTTAATATTCCGGAAACCGCGTGGTCGGAGATCCAAGAAAAGAAAGGTTTCGATAAATATTCGTTCGCGCGGCGAATTCGCTGAATTCCTTCGGGCAAATCGGTGATACGGAATTCCCTCGATTCAGGAAAAAAATTCACGTCGCAGGATAGCCGAGAAAATAAATTTCGTCCCGCCGTCTCGTTCGCGTGAAATTAAAACGCAACGCGGAATTGACACATCTGCCCCGGTCGCGTCGGTTAATTACGATTGAGAAGAATTTATCGGTATTTGTCGATTAGAGTTTGTTTATTTAAAACTGATAGGATCAGTGAGACACGGTAGCGATGGGGACGATACCGAATCGATATCAGTTTAAAATATCGTTAAATACATTGTGCTGCAATGTTGTGCAATTTTATCTTACAATTGTAAAGGGTTTTCTCGTGCATTTTGTTTCTCTCAGTATGAAGTATTATAATATCGTACAAACAGGCATAGATTATTCAATATAAACGTTTTAATTCTTAGTTAGTGTTCTTTTGATCAAAGTTTAAGTATCATCGATGCTTGATCGTATCCCATCGTTACTTTTCGATGGAGTCAACGAAAGAATCGACTCGATCATTAGAAGATTGGTAAGATTGCAAACGAAAAAATGCTCGATCCCGTCGCTGATCTTCGTTGTTAACGATGGGGTAGCCTTCGAACGGTTCCACGAGTCGATTCGTTCGCTGATTCCGTCGTAGATTTCTAAACAAAGCACCGAGAACGAGCGTTGCGTTTCCCTGAAAGTGACGAATTGCCCAATTTGCTGTAGCGTCGCAACCCCCGACGTCCGCAAATTTATCTCGCGAATGGTTAGGGAAGCGGAAACCCGACGACACCGGAACTATATTTTCACGTACGTCGACCCGTGTGATATGTCCTTAAAGCGAGAAACCCGAATTGTTAGACCACCCCGCTAGTACGACTAATAACGTTACGTCCATTGAAATGAAAATTTAAGCCCGACGTGTACGGAACGTCCATTGTTCGACGGCGAAAGATACGCAGCACGAATTTACCAGTTTGGTTGCCTTCGGTTCGAAAAAAAGGTCGCGTTAATTGTCTCTAATCTCCCCCACTCTCGATATTTAGCAAAACTCTGCGAGTTCCGGTAAATATGACCACTGTGATACAGTATTCCAAAGGCTTCCTTTTTCTGCCCTGCAAAATCAAGACGTCGTCCATCAGGCTCTTTATTCTCGCATTTAGTCGATTACTATAGCTCCTTGACCCGTGGCTGTTCGCTTTAGAAACGATTCATATTTTTCTAGATCGGTTTTCAGCTCGGTTCTCAGCAAGTTTGACTTCTACAACCTCCGCGAAAAAATTTGCAAACACCTTGTCGAAACCAGCCATGTATTTTCACATTTTCGTACAACGCGATAAACGCGTGCAAGAGGAAACGAAACATTTCTTTCCGGAGCAAAGAGTAACCAAGTAACTTGACGAACTTTATTTTAACGAGGTGTCGCCTTTCTTTTACAATTTATCACGCGCTCGGGTGAACGTTTAAAACATCGTCAATGACGTATGCATCCTACGGTCGTAAGATTCTACTGGTTGACTGTTTTTTGTAGAAATCTTTGAAGATACGCTAAATTCTATCGGAATAGTAAAGTACAAAGAGTTTTGAAGTGTATTGAAACAGTTTTCGAGCCCTCGGGTGTTGCTGTATAAAAAAAATTGCTGTGAACCGCTCTGTATTCGAGTAAAAATCGAGCTTCGCGGGTAATCGCGGCGTGCAGGCGTGGGTCACTGGTTAGAACAGAAAGCATAAATAAAAAAATGATCCGAAAGAGTAAAAAAAAAAAAAAAAATACGAACGAGAAAGTAGGCAAGTAGCGGTAAAGCGCCGCAGTGACCGATGGTGCGTACGTATCTCGCGCTCAGCCCCTGCATGTGCATGCGACCTCTTTCTCTTGCATCTCGTGTTTTTGCATAACAAAACACCCCACCTGCCCCCCTTCTATTACACCCACCCGGATATGCAGCCCGGTGGCCTGCACGTAGACGCATATTACACGTACGCACGTTTACACGGCTTTTCGTTTACACGTGCACGCGCACACGCGGTACGTAAGCTGCGTGCATTTTGTATGCAATGAGCTTGTGCTATTATCCTCGTGCACATACTCTCTCTATATGCATATATAAATATACGATACTCGTGTGCACAGGGTGTCCCGAAAACCCACGCGTTGTTTCTGTACGTTTTAAGTTTTTAGTCTGCTATGCTCTTAAGGAATTTGCAGAGTCATTTTGTGGTGAAACGAGTTCATTGACATCTGTTATCAATCAAGTATTTTTAATATGTAAATAGATAACTAAAATAATAATAAAGAAAACATTTTCGTATCGTTTCCTATAATACATTATGACCGCGTACTTCTGGGACAGCCGGTGCACGGAAAAGGTATTTCCTCGCGTTCTTCGTCTCTTCGCGCCGGAAGTTGATCTCGATGGAACCCGGAACGAAACCTACGGGATTTCTTTTTAAATTTCAATTGTTGTTAATTCGTATAATTTTATCCCTCTTCCGGTTTCGCTTCGTTATTCAAAGTTCCATCGGAATAACGATCGTAACATAAAAGATATACATAAGAGCAATGGAAGTGATTTGTATAAATGTTGATCAGACTTGGACGTATTATGTTAGTCGATTCGAGCAAGTCGATTCGTTCTTTCGACCATCCAATTCCTCTGTAAATAATTCCCAAAAGTAATGGCAATAATTCTATAAAGAACGTGTTTTAAAAGAAATGATTTCGTATTGGGAGGAGCAAAATTGGATAGTCAAGAGATTCGAAGCAAACAAAGACTAGTTCGTATCGACGCAATAATACGTCCGATTGGTAAAAAGAATAATAGTGACGATTCACCGAACGTCGACGGTTTTCCTTTCCACGTTTCGAGCGCGAAGTCTGACGGAAACTTTCGTCGACTCGCGACCGGAAACGAGACACGACCAAAGAAAATGTCGATCGCTGTACATCGAGACTAATACGCACACGCTCGTCGCGTGCACCGAGTTTTTGGCTGTAGTTTTGCCGTTGTTGTTTGCCGTGAGACCCGACGATAACGAGTGATTATTATTATTTATTTTTTTAATAACATAATCACCGGTTAAGCTGTGATATGAATAACGTAGTTACCACCGAGATCGATTCATCCTACGACCGTGGATCGTAGGACGAATCCGTGATCGCGATCTCGCGAAGGCCAACAAGAATCATTCGATTCCATCTTTACGAATCATTTAAAGTTGTTCCTTCGTTTGGTACTCGCTACTCGAACCAATAGAGATATCCGTGGCGTTTCATCCTTTATCGTTTAGAATTGCCTTCGCGATTTCGTCGATCACTGGGGGAGCGTCTGTTCAACGTTCGATAAACCCGGTTGTTCTAAATCGACGCCCTCGATTTTCTAGGTGCAGCAGCCAATCTACGCAAGGAGGTTATCAGAAACAAGATCAGAGCCATTGGCAAGATGGCGCGCGTCTTCTCCGTCCTGCGGTCAGTAAACTATCCTTCTTTATTACTGTTTCACCGAAACTTCCGTTCGCCAAAGTCGCGTTATTTCCTCCCGGAAACTCTCCCAAGTATAAGATTATTATAAAGCAAAGTTATTCCGAGCGTTCGTAACTCCTCGATAACGATATATAAATTGTAATAAAACGAAACCGATATAGCTCTTTCTTTAAAATTTAAAATACTGTTCAAAACGCAATTTGCGAAAAAAGAAATTCGTACAATCCCATTCGACTTTGTTTGCAGACAGTAATCGAGTTTAGGGTTTCGATCATTCTCATTGCGAATCGAGGTACTGCAATTAATTCTGTTTCTGTTGATACTGCTTGTGGCTCTCGGGTATAGAGCCGGGGTCCTTCCGGTAAAGCGTTCCAACGTTTCTGTGGCAGTCAGCTGCATCAAGGGGTCACGTTATACACAGTGTCAATGTGTTATCCGACCCCATGGTCCTGTGTATCGGTGCATCATCAAACCTGATGAAATTAGCTTCGATTCACGCGAGAACGTCGCGATGCTTTTCGAAAAGGACGCCGCTTAGGCTCGAAAGCCTCGAGCAATGGGGCAACTTTAGTATCACTGAACTCGTGACAGTTATTATTATTTGATCGTTCTTCCAGGGAGGAGAGCGAGAGCGTGTTGCAGCTGAAAGGACTGACACCGACCGGAGCTTTGCCACTTGGTGCGTTATCTGGTGGCAAGACGTCCCTAAAAAACGGTGAGCTCATCTAAATTTCTCTGGCATCTTGGAATCCCAGGGAGAAGCTGGATAAAATTTCGTAACTCGTAAAAATCCAAATTTCGATCGAATAAATCACTACGGTTGGTCTTATGGGTTGCCTGTTATTCGAACGAAATTTAGCCCACTTCGAGCACCACTCGTGGCTGACAATTTGTCACCAGCACGCGTTTAACGAGTCCGACTCGATTTTGGCCCAAACATAAATACCACAGGCCAGACTCGCGAACAGCAAATCACGGTCATGACCGAGTTTTAGTTCCTATCAGTACGCTACAATAGTGGGTCACGATTCTTATAATCTCTGTTAGCATCAGTCTGGTTTGTTTACCGCGCGTTTACGCCTACCGTTTGGGCCCGGATTTCGTCGAGGTAAATGCCACAGGAAGGGGTTAATCGGGAGAAAAATACAAAAGCGAGGAGGAAATTTCTCCCACTGATCTGGGATTATTTTTTTCCAGCTCTCCAAGGCTTCTCGCCGAACCACAAAATCACCTCGTTCGCAGAGGCAAAGGGTCTGGACGCCATAAACGAAAGGATGCCGCCAAGAAAGGACGCCCCGCCCACGCCGGTAAACGAGGAGAAGCCCGTGATAAAGCCGCCGACTCCTGCGGGAGACAAGCGAGACCACAACACACCGCAACCGCAATCGTGAGCCTCACACTCGTCCAATCAAGGTACACATCACACCCACGTGGATGATCCTGACTCGGGGAGATTGCTCCCTCTCACGATCGATCTCTCTCCGATTTCTACATGGATCAGGATCCACGGCCCCGCGTGCATCCTGACAAAGGGATCCACGACTGGCTAACGATCTTCGCCACGAGGATCGTTCGCCAACGCGGGCCGCGAGCAAAACCAGCTGAAAGTGTTTCCAGCTGACAGAGCAATCGTCATTTTGTTACAAGCATCGCGAAAGATTAAATCGATGCATAAAATCGAGAAACGTCAGTCTGTCTTCAATCTTCGTTTCAAGCTCGTATTAGGCCCATTGGAAAATCCTCACCGTTTTATAAACAAAAGGTATTAATATTTAATTCAGTTAAATAATTTCTTCCCCATCTTCATGGAGGAAGACCTGAAGTAATCGTATGGTGAACGATTAGAATTTTCCCGTGGACTTAATAAATATGTGGTCGTTTTCAAATACTGTAAATGGAAGGAAATTTATGAATCATGTTAAATAGAAACACGTTATAACAGTGCTTCGCGTGTTGCTACTCTAGATTCCATTGCGTACAAATAATTGTCTCCGTGTTTCTATTCGATGAAAATGGCCACCGCTTATACCTCAATGAGCTCGTAACGAATATTGAAAGGGCCGATGTTTTTATACTTGACAAGTTTTCTCATGTGTTGGATTTCCAAACAGAAACGTTTCCACGAGTGATCGTGTATCGAATAAATCACAACGAAACCTGCTCGACACCGATGCTTAGCTTCACGCACGTAACGCACGAGACTTGGTTTCGATTCGGGACTGTTTTGTACAAAGTGAAGACTAACATGGCCTCTGCTTCACGACTAACTCCAAGAGAGACACGTGGATTCACAGCTTCGTGTTGTGTTGCACGTTGATCGGGACACTTTGTCGACCGGGCATCCGGTAACTTGGTCGTTGAATTTTTAAATTATCATTGATCGTGGCGGTGCAAAAAAATAATATCATTCGCGTACATTCGAATCGAGGAATTCGAGACCGTGTAAATTGCGTAAATTCGATGTTGCTTATTCGAGATAGCCAATTCAGAGTCTATCGTCGCGTCTCCCGTTCCCGGTCCATAAACTCGGAGAGTGTCTGCCAAACTTCCTAACGTTCCCCAAAGTTCGAACGGTATTGTTGTCTTCACGGTAACTGTCCTCGATAGAATTAGAGTCAAAGTAGTTTGCGACCGTTTATTGTCAGACCAGCTATTGGAAACGCTCGCAGGCGCGAGTCCGCGCGCAGCAAAAACTTCCCAACGAAGTCTTCCAAAGACTCGTAAATCGGTCTCGACGTGCCCCTTTCTTCGTCAACGATGAACGAACGGATATATAGCTCGACTACTTAGTAATGGTCCCTGTGGTGGAGGATCCAGCTGCACCAGCCTCTTCTCTCGCTTATACGTTATTAGAAAACCGGGTACCGGGTTCGATTCAGTAGCTAAATATCTATCACGTCCAGGTGTTAGTTTTAAGAATCACTACCGTATCACGTTGCACTGTATCGACTGCCCCAATGCAATTTAAGGGGGCATTCTAGAATCTCACTTTCTTAAAGTACATGTCGTTGAAAATGATGGGGCTTGATTCTAAATATTCGAGCTATAGAATCCAGTTGCGATGGCGGTGCACGGTGTCGACAAAGTGTCAGCGAGAAAAGAGTAAGGGAATAAAGACGAGGCTCCGTTGAACGTTTCTTTCAGGTGGCAAGGATGGATCGTAAGATCCCGATGCTGTCGCCGCCGCCACCACCATAAGATCCAAACCATTGCTCGTCTCTCCCCCCCGGTTGTTATCACTAGTGCACTGTTCGTCGAGCCAGGAAGGAATCGTCGCGGCCGCGTGGAGGATCTGGAACCCGGAGAGGACTGCCACGTCCATCGACGCGGGAGCCACGGGGACGGTTGTCGTCGTTCGCGTGTCCGGTGTCGCGACTCGCGTCCCCGGCGACGATGGAGACGGTCCGTCGCCGGTCTGATACCGTTCAGAGCGCGTTTCGCGCGCACCAAACGGGGATTGTTCGCCTCGCGGGAGGCGCTTCACGGCCGTCGTGCCCTCGTCTCTTTCGTCCTCTTTCTCCCATCCAACGACGACGACGACGACGATGACGACGACGACGACTCGCGTGACCTGGTGCCCCGGCGTTACGCGCGGCGGACCCCTCCTCGCGTTGGATCGCAATTTAGAGAACGCTAGCTTGGGAACAATGACGACAGAGGAGAGATTATTATTTAAATACGCGAATCGTCCGTGTGTACGCGCGGCCCGGTTCCGGTTCCGGTTCCGTTTCCGGTTCGCTGGCACACGCGAGACAACGGATGGATCCGCGGTGGTTCGAATGTTGATCGCGCGTAGACACGGACCTGGGGTACGCGGAGTCGACGACGTACGTCGCGTTTCGGGTTTCCGGGTATCGAGGACGAATCGTCCCCGTCGTCGTCCTCGATCGGCAACGACGCCGTTCGACGATATCTCTCGTTTCCTCGAGCGCCGCGAGGCGAACAAATCGAAGAATAGAGAAGCAAAGATTTAACGAAAATAATTAAAAGAAAAAAACATGAAGCACGAGAAGGAGTAAGGAAACGGAAACAAAGGTGAAATGAAAATAAAAAAAAAAAAAAGAGGTAAATAAAATAAAAAGGCAGCTGGCCTGTCGGTACGGCGGAGCTTCCGGTTTTAGGATTTACTAGGTTCTTAAGGAGTCCGCCCTGGGTGGTGCAAGGGCATCCCCGCGACAGGGTGGGGTTACTTAAATCTTAAGTCGAGATAAGCTTAGGGTTAAGCCGTAAGTTATATCGGAGAATTTATTTAATATACGCATATACGATAAATATATTATTAATTGATTAATATTATTATTACTATTATTATTATTATCGTTATTATTATTAATATTAATACGATACGGTGTTTCTCGCCGCAGAATGCGTGCACGCGCACGCCCGTTCGCACGAATGCACGTCGAGCGCGTCGTTTCATACGTGATTCGTGAAATTTAAACGAATCATCGGTACGATTACGCGATTCGCTGGACCACCCGTCCCACGGACTTTGTTTAATCGTTCGTTAGCGTCCTATAGTCTCTACGAATCGATTTTGAAAAAGGGGAAAGATTTTGTTAGTTCGATGACCAAAGTTACTGCTAAACTTCTATTATAAACACTTCGATCGGTTGTCAATGTCTTAAGATCTACTAGAACAAAACGCAACGTCCTGGAAATTTTTCCTAGTTCCGCACAGGAGAGGTTCGTTCGACTCTCTTATTAAATCATTCTCGATCACCCTCCTGGTTTTAACTTCGTCTATTTTAACTTGCTTCGCGCGTCGTTTTAAACCAAAGTCCCGTACGTGTATTTGAAACAAGCATGGCCGGTGGAAATCATTGCAAGAACTGGGGAGAATATTGCTCGTTTCGCTATTGATCGAACAAAAGACGGATTTTCTTTATAGTTGTAATTGCGGTACATATCTCTCGTTTCACGTGTATTTAAGACGGAACACATTTCACCACTCAGCAGTTTGAAAATGTCGCAGTGCAGACTTTCGGTCGGATTTTCCAAAGATCGGGGAATAATTCTTGAAAACGTGCATGGAAGTCGGTGATTGGACATCGTCCAAGTGAAATTGGCACGAAAGCGATCCTCCTTTTCGTAATTTGCTGTCAAAGAATACAGAATAAATCGAGAATCCTCCCACTTGCTTCGGTATTCCGTCATTAATTCGAACGACCGTGTAATTTTAATCGAAAATTTTTAATCTCGAATATCGTTCGATTTATTTTAGTCTAATGGTATCGTTGCGCGTTGGACTTTGATTACCAATCGTTTAAAAAATTGGAAAATAACAGTCGTCGAAACGCGCCCTTGAATGCACGCGAAATAAAAATGATTGTCGGATCGCGTATTAAAAAGTTATTGAAACGAGGGTGGAGACGGGTGGCGGCGATTTCGAAAAGTCGAAAGGAAACGGAACGCTCGACGAGACACAAGGGAATCTCTCGCGGAGGCTTCGCGGGCCTCGATCGCGCACGAACGAAGGATCTATAACGCATATTATACGTATATCAGTAAACCCATGACATGTGTGCTCCTTTTGGACGTGTGATGCGTAAACCCTTGCTCCAGCCAGTCGCAGAAGTTTATTGTGGGAACTGAGAAAACCGATTTTCAAAGGAGGTACGCACAGAGACCAGAAAATAAAAAATTAATGGGACAACGCTCGACCAAATATGGCCGCGTGGGATCGTCCGCGCGGCTAGTAGAGAATATAACGAAGAGAAAGTAAAAAAGAATAAAAAAAAAAAAAATACGAAAGGAATATTGTCCAAGGAAAAAAAGAAGTTTTTTTAGGCGAGAAGGGGGGCGAACGAATTGTCCATGGTCTGTGAATTCCTCGAACGACGAGTTCGAGGGAGTAAAAACGAGAAAGGAAAAACCAAACGGACAGCCATTTTGCGTAACACGTCTAATAACGTTGATCTTCTATGATTTTAATGTGTGTTCTTGCTACTATCCGACATAAGTATGGGTCACAGCCGCGAGCTGCTCGCGCCTGGCGCCGGAAGTGGAGCCTTTGCGGTCCCGGAAACGGGACCGGTTTACGCGAGAATGCGAACGAAACGACTATAAGACGAATAATCGGACATTGGTCGTATCTTCTTCTTTTTTTCTTTTTTATCCTTTATTTTTAAGTTTATTTTATTCCTTCTTTTATTTTATTTTTTGTTTTTTTAATGCGTCGCGAGTTAAAGCGAGATGAAATCTCGATGGAATTCGAAGCATTTCGAACGCGATCCTACGCTCGACGCGCCGCGATTTTTGGCGTCGAGTCTCGATCCGAAACACGTGACTTCTCAATTGCCGCTTCCTTTCGGTCCCGTGAACGTGTTTAGTTCGTGTTGACGGGTGTCAGTGCCAAACTACGATCATTTTTCGGTTCTTCGCGGTCACTTTGTTCTCCGTAGAGCCCCTCGAGTCGTTGAACGGCGGGGTAATTTTTGAAACTTTATTACCACTCTGTAGAATGGCGTCGTTGGTGTGCTCGGTTCGAATTGAAAACCATTCGGTATTATTTCTCTTATAAACTGTATTTAACGAAGAAGCAGTAGTACGTCGTCTCTAGAAATTTTTAAATATATGTATATCAAGGGCGTAATATACATGGTATTATTTTTTTATTACAAGGTAGCGCGTGATCGAGATGTATTTTCAAAAATTTTAGTTAGAATATATGGAAAGACGTACGGCACGCGTGGTATTAATTTTTTTTAGCAAAAAGAAGAAATAGATTTTTCCTGCCATTTTCGTGGCGCTGCGCGCTCGACGTTCTCCGTAGGCCTCCGTGCGTTAGGTCAACGTTTAGTTGAAAGGTCGTTGCCCAAAATCGGGACCTATTCGACGCGAGTACACGACCGTTCGGGATGTTCTAAAGCGTTTCAAAGAGCCTCCCTAACAACCCCATCGATCCCTTCGTCCTTTGCAAAAACAAAACACCCCTGTAACACGTATGTTTACTCCCCCCGGCGAAAAAGTACCGTCTATTATTTTCACGTACAGTCGAACTTGGTTATAACGAGCACGGACGTATCGAAGTCGCGGCTGTAACGAGCAAGAAAAGCCATATTGATTCTAATGCACGCGTATTCTTATCAAATCACTCGTTTTTACAGTGCTCGGGGAAACTCGTGATATCTTGAAAGGGATCTCGCAAATAAAAAGACTAATTTACATCGTATTTATTACTAATATTCTTCTTAATTACGAATATATTGCGTTTAATGCAAAGGTATTGATCGTGTTTAATATTAAGCGTATCGTAGTTTAAACAAGCATATTGATATAAATAATATGCCCACGTGTAAATATATTCTTTCTCCCAATATCAACATTTCTTGAATCTGTGTCTTTAACGAGTTCTTGACAATTTGAACGATTAACCTAACTCGCCGCTAATCAGTGAGTAATAGTTTTAACAAGGAAATTTTGTTGATCGTTATAATCGAGTTCGACTATGTATGCAGTATTCCCTCGCAGGTTGCAACGAAGTTACCCTCGCCATATGAATATTAAGCGAACAGTTTCTTGGAGAAAGGACGTATATCAACTTCATTTTACTGTGGAATGGTGGTTAACGAATCACGTTCCCCTTAGTGGGTTATTATTTATTTAAAAAAATAAAAAAGTGTGTCGGAGCGTAACGTACGCCCTATTTTCAAGGAATTGTTTGTCCCCTGCGTGTACCTACGTTCCACCGTACCTCCCTCGCAGGTTGCAACGAGCAGGTTCGGACGAAATTGCAGCCTGCAAGGGGTTGCTGTGTTTTCCCGCGTTTTTTTACGGCGTTCTGATGTCTAAAATCCTCCGTAACGCGCGTTTACTTTGTTCCACCGAGTTTCTTTGTTTACCCGCGCGTCTGTGTATATTTTTCCCACCCCCGAATATCTCGCGGCGTCCACCCCCATCCCGGAAACTACCGCGTTTGTTTTCGCGTTGCCCTCCGTTCATCGTCGCGTTTCCGGCGCGTCGATTTCCACGGCGACGGCGCGTCTCGACGGACGATCGTGAATCGAGAGTCCGCCTCGCTGCTTATCGTGTAATATTTCTAGTAATAAAATGGCGCCGCGATCGCGTCGCGGGCCTTTCTCGTCGTTTTCGCTGTTTTTTCTACCTCCTCTCTCTTAAGAATCGATGAACAGCGGAAGTGGGCGCGACGGGGATTCGCGACGATGGACGCACATTAGCGCGGAAGTCGGAATTGGGAATGTCACGGACTCAGAGGGGTTGGGCGGGGGTACAAAAGAAAAGAAAAAAAGACCACGTGGAGGTAACGGTTAAACGGGAAACAGGGGAGGGGGGGGACCACGCGCGAGAAATGAAAAAGAAAAGAAAATGAAAACGGGAGGTAGTCAAAGGCCACTTCCGTCAGCCAATCATCGGCGGCAGTGTAAGAATTACGGTCTGAAACATAATAAAGATAATGAAAGAATATTATTATAAAATGAAATGAATTAAATAAGATATATATATAAATATATATATATACATATATATATACATATGTGTGTATATATATATATATACATACACAAAAAAAATATTATATATATATATCTCTCTCTTCTCACTATGATAAAGATATACAGTGAATAATAATTCTATCTCTCTTTGCTACCAAGTTGTACTTATTCTTAATTGATTTACTTGTACAAAAGAATGTGTTAAATAATAATGAAATACATAATATAATATACATCTATAAATAATACATATTATAAATATATAAATATATATAATATAGTGTTAATTAACTATTATCATTACTATTATTATTATCATTATTATTATTATTATTATTATTATTATTATTATTATGGTCATCGCGAGATAACGGTTATTCTTAATTATTTTATTATTGATTATTATCGTTGTTATTATTATTATTCCTATTCGATTATTATCGTTACCATTAACGGCGTTTACCGATGCTATTTACTATTGTCACATCGTCACTATCGAACGCGAGTAAAAAAAGAAAATGAAAAACAAAGTACTTACGTAAGTGCGTGAGTGAGTTTTTCGGTGCGCGACGAGAACCGTTGGTATGGATAATACAATTACGCGTACTATCTTTTGCCACTGTTCACTATTGTGATGGTCGTTTCAACTGCGTTACGACGACGGCGACACGATCATGGTGATTCAGGACGTAATCGGGATTGTCGGATGTCTTCTGCTGTAGAAACTTCAATATCATTGTTTCTTTCTTCATTCGTCAGCCAGATAAATCTGCTTCGCCTATTTTACGACGCGCGGTTCGCGTAATAAATTCGAAAAGTATTAAACAGATTTTTATTTCTCATCTGGTCGCGTCAGGTTCGCCAAAAATGACGGAACTTGACATTCGACGCTGTAACAGGCACGTCAAACTTATTTTTCTCCAAAAAAACATTTGCAGTCTTAAATAACATTGTTCCATTTTGTTCAAAGTATTTACAGACAGCAAAACATCAAAATTTTTGGCGTATTTTCGTTTAAATTAATTTGCATTTAAGTTGTAATATGTACATATATGTTAAAAATGTTAATCGTTCACGGAACATAGTACTCGAATCGTTGTCGAACAGTCGGAAAGGAGCAGACGTTAGATCGCGATCATTATCATCTTCGCCATTATGATCTTTTGTTTTGCATAACGCAGAGACGGGCAAAATTTTTATGCGCGTAGACGCTTCGAGTAACGAATAATACAAATAAAAATTTCAATCGTAGAATAAAATATTCCACAACGAACGGATAAAAATTAAACTGTTTGATCGAATAAATTGGTATACGCGGTCTTGTTGGTTATGCATTATGCGAATAGAAGTTTTGCCCGGCTCTGCGATAAGATAATGGAAAAGAAAACAGAAGGACAGACGTTGATACGATCTCCTGAACGCAAACCGTGTCCCAGCGTACGTTTTTATGCAGCCGCCTCTTAACATTGTACATATTTGTGCGTGTGTCTTGATCCTACATATATCGTGTTGTAGAATCTCTTTAGATAGGTGAAAAATCATGATCGATCGTCGGTAAGTCATTTGGGAACCTTATCGACCGGGCTCGAATCGTCGCGGATCATTAACGAGTTATCGATCCGTGGAAAGGATCGATCCTGTAACGAAATATCAGTGCTGGTCGTTTGCATCGATCTTTCTGGGGCGAAGTGCAATCGTTGCCTTCATTGCGATAGGAACGAACGCGATTATAATCGTAGAACTTTTCTGTCGCGTGTGTATCGTCGATTACAATTATTTTGTTTCTTTTGTTATCAACGGAAAGAGAAACGTCTCGTTGGACAGGATACAGGATACAGGATCGTCCTCGAAGCTCGTGTCCTTTTACCATCGAAGGCGTATGTACTGAAAAATCGAACGTTTAAAAAACAAAAAGAAAAATGGACGACACTCTCGTCTTTCGTTACACGCGTACCGTTCCCCTTTTCGTAACGACAGATCCATGTGTTCTATGCCGACGCGATCGATGCTTCGAACGAACTAAAATTCCATTGATAAAGAAATGAACACGCGAAATCCAACGAACCTCTCGATTCTTGTTACTTATTTCCGCGCAGAGACGGACAAATTTATCGTCTAGATTAGAAAATGTCGGGTAACGAGCAGAAGATAAAACCACTTCCGTTATTCGTTCGATAAACATTGCAGTCTGATTTGTAAAATGAAATTATACTTCGCGTTAAAGGCCAACGAGAAAGCTGGCCTCCGATAACTGTTGGGTATTCGATTCAAGGTGTTTTTTATTCCTTGTCTAATATTAGAACGTGACTTTGCCCGTCTCTGTTCTCGAACGATTCGATAGTATCGAACCGATATCGAAAAGCGTTGCATCGCATTCGGCGACGCAAAGTTCGCCCCGGAGGAAACGAGAACTGTATTATAATGTAGAAGCGTGTATATCGTTAAGCTTACGATTGGGGTGAACCCCCAAAGCCTTTCTCTTAGACTTACGTGCGCGTCCACCGAAACCGTCTGTCTCGATTCCCGTATCGATTCCTTTCCCCGCGCTTATCGAGTCTTTATCGTGCACGAGAAAGAAAGAGAACAACGTGCGTTGATGTGTAACTGAAAAACGCGCGATCGAACGTGCACGATTACGTTACGCGGCTAGGTGATGTGTACGTCGCGTTCAGAACGTTTAAAACACATCGAACGCGTGGACGACACGCTTCTCCTTCTACTACCGATCGTAAAAACATCTACGAAGCTAGTAACTTATTCACGAACGAAAACGACGTTAAAACGTTTCGTTTTTATAACGCGGTGAGAAAATGAAACGACGCGTGATGGTTTTCCCGGCAAAAGGGTAAGGGGAATAACCGATTTCTCCGCGCGTAAAGTCCCTAGATCGCGATGCACGTATCAACGCTACCGCGTAAAATAATTCTACGCGCGTCGTATCGATCAGAACTCGATCGATCGGGAATATCGAGCAGCTAACGGTGGACTAGCGATTTCTTAGATTGTTACGAAACTCGTTCGAGATACTTTGTCCCTCCGTGATGCGAACAAGAACGGCTATTGAGGATTTTACCATTTTATCTACATTTTTCAGACACGCACTCTTTTTCTCTATCTCTCTTTGTATCACTTTATATTTCTGTCCGATGTTGTCCCGCGATTTGTGGCGCCACCACCCGAGGTCGTACGCGTCTACGATGCTACGCCTAGACTTTCGATGACAATTAAATCGAAGGGAACTTCGATTCTATTATCGATTCTCGAGGAATTGTACGGTACTGGACGAAGGCGTCGGTACAGCAATGACTTTTTGGGTCGCAAATGCTTATAACAAAGTCGATTGGATTCCTGTTTGAACTTTACAGTGGGGATGCCCAAGCATTCTTTCTAAATAATTACACGTTTCGATCGGTTTATCTGTTTTACCCTCTCGTACGGTAGACTAGAATATTATAAAATAAAGATTTACAAAGAAAACTTTTCACGATCATAAGCATTTATATCCTAAGGACTGTTCTGAGCCAATACTTTCGTTCGATGCTGTGTACCAATCGTAACAAAAATGTCCCGCGCGAGAATAGTTTGTAGAATTTACAATGAATATTAACTTGTACTGATAGAACATTGTAGCAAGTTGTCGATACGAATTGACGACCAACGGCACCGAAATTTATAATGTTCGAACTTGTAAAGACTTTTTTTATATTTATATGTTTTAATAACTTTTTTAACCCCCCGAGGATTCCATTCACCGAAACTCTGAGAATCTAGGATTTCAATACCCATCGAACCTCTTTCGATTAATCGACAAGCAATACTCGACGGTCGGCGCGTACGACTCGATAGAAAATGGCGCGCGTTCCCGGAACACATTTTTTGCGACGACTTATAGGCGGTTATATACATGTATATACGCATATAGTAGGTATACATACCGAGTTAAGTTGCGTGCATTTTCATCTATTTGTATACGTATATACACGCACACGCAGGGAAGCGAACGCACGCAATAAGGCACACACGAGACCACAAACTAATTCTACATCCCTGGGAAAAATTTTAATGGGAGATTCTAGAGGCCAAAGTAAGTCGAATATCAAGAATATCAATTTGTTGACCGACGCTTCGTTAAAATTAAATTAAAAAATTTCAAATTATTCTCGGTTGCGGTGGTCAATTACAATCATTTTTGATGAATAGACATACCCCCAAAATCCTACGTACTTTCGAGAGAAAAATTCTATAACTTTTTAACGAAGCCTCGATCGACAAATCAGTATCCTTGATTTTCGTCTTATTTTAGCTTCTAAAATCTCCCATTAAAATTTTCCCCAGGATATGGTAGAATGTGTATAGAAACGAACCTATGTACGTACGACGGGAGCTTCTGCCGTGAAATTTTGAAAGTAATCTTCTCTCGAGAGGGAGGGGGGAAACTCGCTCCCGTCGTCGGACGAATACGAACGATCTTACGATTCGCTACGCGAAAATAAAAAGAAAACGAATGGTTCTTCGTGGCTTTGCAATTTCGAGAGAAAGTTTTTGCCGCATGGATGCGTTCGTTGCGTTTCACCGACGACTTCGATCGATCGATCGATCGATCGATCGTTCGTTCTCGTCGAGTTGACGCGAGACAAGACACATTGGCTGCTCTGGGTCACCAAACGACTGTCCCCCTCCGTTCCCCTCTGTTCCATCTTCTGTTCCTCGAAAGAGCGATTCGCAATAGGGGAAGCGACCTCGAATATTCAGTATCTTCTCTCTCTCGGGGCATAATTCTTGTATATAATACAACAGATGGAATATTCGGGCCGAACGATCGGCTAAAGATGCCGATCGACGATGAGATATTTACGTCACCGTTCCACGAAGCGCACAATTAAAAAATTTCTGAGAACAAAAACACAGACGGAGGGACGACGATCGATCGAATCGGTCACGAGAAAACCACTTTTATGTACCTGTTGCTACCGATTATCGTGTGCCTTCGCT